CCCCAAAACCCCAAAACCCCAAAACCCCAAAACCCCGAAAAACTATTAAAAATTGCAAATAATAAAAACTAAAATGGATCCAAATCCCAACAATAATAGCTACAATTCCTCCGAAGAGCCAGAGCAAAGCTTGACTCCTGATGAATACAGAACCCTGCTAGAACATATAGAAGACCTTGAATATGGGGAGTTAGATGCAGCTCAGATTGACAAGGCAGTAGAAAGTATCAGAAATCTCTCAGAGTTCCTCATATATGGCAGCAAAGAACAAAATTCCTACTTCGAACTCTTTATAGAGCGGAATATTCTCGGGATTTTCAGTAGGATCCTTGAAAAATAACTGTGATGAGATTAATACTCAGTTAATACAGACAACCAGTATTTTAATTCAGAATATACAGAAAGAACAGGATTCAATTTACTTATTATCACATCCCTTTCTGAACAATCTGATATCCCACAACTTTAATTTGTCCGAACATGGAGAGATTGTGGACTACCTGATCTCCTTTCTCAAAATGCTGGCACTGCGAATTGACAAAAATAATGTCCATTTCTTCTATAACATCAGGTTTAAGAACTTTCCACTATATGGAACAGCTGTTAAGCTGTATAACCACTCTGAATTAATGGTGAGAACAGCAGCTAGAACCATTGCTCTTACTCTTTTCAGGATAGGGAGCCAAAATATTATTAACGCTGTACTCTCGCTTCCGCATGCTAATTACTTCCCTCATCTTGCGTGAGAGCTGAGAGATAGGTGGATCAAAGTGGACCAAAATATAATTTCTGACCTTGATGCAGAAGACTTAAGAGATGAGCTAGACGATATCAGCGATATGCTAATGTACCTTCAGGACATTTTTAACCTGAATATTCCTGATCTCACAATTGCATTGTCCAACTCACTCCTGTACTATGCCTACTTTCCCTCATTGATAGGGAGTCTGGGTTGAACTAGCAAAAAGCCTGATATAAACAGCTACTCAGCAACTATTTTTTTCCTAACCCAGACATATGACAGCATCAAGGAGCCATTGTTCATTAATGCGCTTTCTTGCGGGTTGTTCCTGCAACAAATTCCTATCCCATATGCTAAGTGGATAGTCAATGCCATTCAGCCACCAAAGACATACGAGAGGACATATGCCTTCAGAAGTGAGGACATCGACCTTGTCAGGTATGTAGAGGAGAACCTTTCCAAGAACAACATTGAAGGATTTATCAACTCTGAATACCCCTTTCTCGAACAAATTCAAGAAGAATACCAGAGGCTCAAAGAAGCCAAAGAGGAGGAAGAGATTGATGATACTTATGATAAATCCGACGAGAACCAACGAGAAGCAATTGAGTTAGTCCTTTCCAAACTTAATTATGGCGAATTAGCCAAGATTAAGGAAGCTCATCTTGCTCTTTCTTTATCTATTGGCAAACCACTCGGTGTTTGGGAAGGTTCGAAGGATTATAATTACCTTAGCCCAACTGATTTTTCTGAAGCTATACTTGACTCCCTATATAATGACAATTTCCAGTCATACTTAAGGAAGGAGAACTTTATGACTAATAAATACTCAAATACTTTACTAAACTTTCTCAGATCCAAGGATGACAGCTTGTTATTACTAATCGGAGGGTTGCTCTACAAGTATTCACTTTCCCAAACAGTAGACCCGGCTTTATTATTTGAGACGAAATTCTATCCAATAGGGAATCGGAAATAAGAGCCAGCTCTTACATTCACTCATCGATGAAAGAGATACAGAGATAAAAAGTACACCCAAAAGGTCTATCCTCAACTTTGAAGAAGAGAAGACCCTCATATCTGGATCTCAACGTGATAAATATGAGTTTGAGAGCAATATTATAAGAAAATCTAAGGGAAATTTCTATGACGATAAGATCATGAATATGCTGTTAGATTTGCTAAGAACTGATCCTCCTTTCCGGACTACTACCTTAAAGCTTATATCGGTTATCGCCTGAGGTCTGTGTTACTCAAAGAAAGGGGTAGATTGACTTTCAATAAAGCAATTTGATATGCTAGTTGATGCTTTCTTGAAAACTATCAAGAATATTAAAAAGCTATACTCCAAAAAGTCATTGAATATAGTCTTCATTGATGTCTTCGAGAAGCAATGGAGAGCATTCAAGTTCATTGATCATGAACTTCTTAATAAGGTGATTCGAAGCCATTGGTCTCTTGTCCCGCTTTACGAGGAAAAATATAAATCTAAGCTTCCTGCATTTCTCAAACTTTATGAGAATGACCTTCAGGAACTAAATAATGCAATTGATCAATTTTTGACATTAAGGTATATGATTTATTATCTCAAATTCAAAGTTGATTTGACCAAACCTCAGAACTATCCCTTTGAGCATGAGCACAGAGATGTGTATGACTGGAACATTGGAGATGTTATCACTGAAATCAACAAGACTTTGGTTCTCTGAAATATCCAAATAAACAACTCTCTTCAAATGCGATATGTTGTGCTTGATCCTGAATTCTTCATCTTAATAGAGCCTGGATTTGAGGGAAGCAACCTCAAATCGATTAGAGTAGAAATAAAGGCGCCTTTAAAAACAATTGACACCCAGATGGATTTCCGTGATAAAAAGCGCCTTCATATAGGCATAAGCGAGTTGACTGAGACTGGAGAGGAGCTTTACCATCCCTTTATTTTCCATTTTGAAAGTTTCCATAGCTGTAAATCTATCAAAAAGACTATTGACGATAACAAAAAGAACCAGAAGAAATTCCTAGATGCCCTAATTAACAGGTATATAACTAGTGTAACCCCATAGCTTCTTCGATCAGAGTATTAATGAAGTCCAAGATGAAGACGGCATCTAAAATTAGTCCTGAATTAATCTATTTTTGAGCAAAATTGTGGGGTTTTGGGGTTTTGGGGTTTTGGGGTTTTGGGG